ATGGCATTAAGATTTCCAAGGTTTAGCCAAGGCTTAGCTCAGGACCCCACTACTCGTCGTATTTGGTTTGGTATTGCTACCGCACATGACTTTGAGAGTCATGATGATATGACTGAGGAACGTCCTTATCAGAATATATTTGCTTCTCACTTTGGTCAATTAGCAATAATTTTTCTGTGGACTTCCGGCAATCTGTTTCATGTAGCTTGGCAAGGAAATTTTGAATCATGGGTACAGGACCCCTTACACGTAAGACCTATTGCGCATGCAATTTGGGATCCTCATTTTGGTCAACCGGCTGTCGAAGCTTTTACTAGAGGGGGTGCTCTTGGTCCAGTGAATATCGCCTATTCTGGTGTTTATCAGTGGTGGTATACAATCGGGTTACGCACTAATGAAGACCTTTATACTGGAGCTCTTTTTCTATTATTTCTTTCTGCCATATTCTTAATAGCAGGTTGGTTACACCTACAACCGAAATGGAAACCGAGTGTTTCGTGGTTTAAAAATGCGGAATCTCGTCTGAATCACCATTTGTCAGGACTTTTCGGCGTAAGTTCTTTGGCTTGGACAGGGCATTTAGTGCATGTCGCTATTCCCGGATCCCGAGGAGAATATGTTCGGTGGAATAATTTCTTAGATGTATTACCGCATCCCCAAGGCTTAGGCCCACTTTTTACAGGTCAGTGGAACCTTTATGCTCAAAACCCCGATTCAAGTAGTCATTTATTTGGTACCTCCCAAGGAGCAGGAACTGCCATTCTAACTCTTCTAGGGGGGCTTTCATCCACAAACGCAAAGTTTGTGGCTGACTGATATTGCTCATCATCATTTAGCTATTGCATTAATTTTTCTCGTTGCCGGTCATATGTATAGAACGAATTTCGGAATTGGGCACAGTATGAAAGATCTTTTAGATGCACATACTCCTCCCGGTGGGCGATTAGGACGTGGGCATAGGGGTCTTTATGATACAATCAACAATTCGCTTCATTTTCAATTAGGCCTTGCTCTAGCTTCTTTAGGGGTTATTACTTCCTTGGTAGCTCAACACATGTACTCCTTACCTGCTTATGCATTCATCGCACAAGACTTTACTACTCAAGCTGCTTTATATACTCATCACCAATATATTGCAGGATTCATCATGACGGGAGCTTTTGCTCATGGAGCTATATTTTTCATTAGAGATTACAATCCAGAGCAAAATGAAGATAATGTATTGGCAAGAGTGTTAGACCATAAAGAAGCGATTATATCTCATTTAAGTTGGGCCAGCCTATTTCTGGGATTCCATACTTTGGGACTTTATGTTCATAATGATGTCATGCTTGCCTTTGGTACTCCGGAGAAGCAAATCTTGATCGAACCCATATTTGCTCAATGGATACAATCGGCTCATGGTAAAATGTCATATGGGTTCGATGTACTTTTATCTTCAACGAGTGGACCAGCATTCAATGCGGGTCGAAGTATCTGGTTGCCTGGTTGGTTAAATGCTATTAATGAAAATAGTAATTCATTATTCTTAACAATAGGACCTGGAGACTTTTTAGTTCATCATGCTATTGCCCTGGGTTTACATACAACTACATTGATCCTAGTAAAAGGTGCTTTAGATGCCCGCGGGTCCAAGTTAATGCCAGATAAAAAGGATTTCGGTTATAGTTTTCCGTGCGACGGCCCGGGACGAGGCGGTACTTGTGATATTTCAGCATGGGACGCATTTTATTTAGCCGTTTTTTGGATGCTAAATACTATTGGATGGGTTACTTTTTATTGGCATTGGAAACACATCACATTATGGCAGGGTAACGTTTCACAATTTAATGAATCTTCTACCTATTTGATGGGCTGGTTAAGAGATTATTTATGGTTAAACTCTTCACAACTTATTAATGGATATAACCCCTTTGGTATGAATAGTTTATCGGTCTGGGCATGGATGTTCTTATTTGGACACCTTGTTTGGGCTACTGGGTTTATGTTCTTAATTTCTTGGCGGGGGTATTGGCAGGAGTTGATTGAAACCTTAGCATGGGCTCATGAACGAACACCTTTAGCCAATTTGATTCGCTGGAGGGATAAGCCAGTCGCCCTTTCCATTGTGCAAGCAAGATTGGTTGGATTAGCCCACTTTTCTGTAGGTTATATATTTACTTATGCGGCTTTCTTAATTGCCTCTACGTCGGGCAAATTTGGTTAATTTTTTACTTCATTTGGTGTGTATCCGAGAAAAGTTCATTTCTTTGGATGGAGAGTGAGTCCACCGTCTTCTATTTCTACATCTAGGATTCGACTTGTATCAGCGATACTAAGAGGAACTAAACTATTATGGCAAGGAAAGGTTTGATTCAGCGGGAGAAGAAAAGGCAAAAATTGGAACAAAAATATCATTTGATTCGTCGATCCTCAAAAACAGAAATAAGCAAAGTTCAGTCGTTGACTGACAAATGGGAAATTTATAGAAAATTACAATCACTACCGCGGAATAGCGCACCTACACGTCTTCATCGACGTTGTTTTGCGACCGGAAGACCAAGAGCGAATTATCGAGACTTTGGACTATCCGGACATATACTTCGGGAAATGGTTCATGCATGTTTGTTGCCAGGAGCAACAAGATCCAGTTGGTAAGCATTAACCTTTGATTTTTATTTGATTTTTTATTCTACGGTCGGCGATTGGGGGTCCCCCTTTACCATTCTGTATAAATTGGCTATTCTATTTGTACAGATATGATAGAGGGGGACATTCAACCCTTGTTTGTCTATTAGTTTTTGGTCCTTCTTTTTAGCGCGGGGTAGAGCAGTTTGGTAGCTCGCAAGGCTCATAACCTTGAGGTCACGGGTTCAAATCCTGTCTCCGCAACATCTTGTTTGTCAACAATTTTTCGGTTTTTTTTATTCTATTTTTATTCTGTTAACTAGTAATTGATTTAATTTATTATGCGCTTTTCTTTTTAGATAAGCATAAAATCATTAAAAGATCACGGATAATTAGACCAAATCCCTTATTATATTAATTTTATTTTATATTCATTTCATATTAAAGAAATTATTTTACTTTGGGCGGATAGCGGGAATCGAACCCGCGTCTTCTCCTTGGCAAAGAGAAATTTTACCATTCGACCATATCCGCATTTTTTTGTTCTTGATAAATAATGATACCTAATATGTACACACAATATTCAATAGGAAATTTATATCGACTTGATTTACTTGGAATAGATACTTAGATGATTTTTGAAAACTTTTCAACGGAGGCTCCACCTAGATCGACTCCAATTATTATTATTGTATTAATTTATTCTTTTATACCATTCCAGAATTGTTCAATAAATTTGACCCCCTCTATGTTTTTCTTTATTTTATTTGTATTGTATTTTCTTTTGGGGACTTATATTTAATTTCAAGTTTACTACGTCTCCCAAACGAGAAAAAATTGCGGGGGGTCATTTGGGTTTCGGCTCTGGAACGGATAGGTTCAAGAGATGAGAGAATTAAGGATACCAACTAGAAAAACTAATCCAATCCATAATGATGTGCCGGAAAATATAACATTTTTGTTACTTGACCAACCGTCGGGAGAAGCAAAGACAACGGGCACACTAATCAATAAGATTGACGAAGTAGCAATTAATGCAAAAACAGCCAATTGGAAAGCAAGAGTCATACTTTTAATCCTCCACTCTAACAACAAATTAACTTATACCATTTGATCCCCCTATCAGCAAAAAAAATGTTAATAAACTAAATCCTCGGGGGATTTACTTTACCACGAGTCTATATCACTTATTACTACCCATTTTATTCATACATGGGATCGAGGTAGATCAATTTATTTGATTTCAAAAAAAAGGCGGGCTGCCTCACATATACGGATAAGATATATTGATAGGTGGATTCCCGCCGTATATCTTTCTACGGATAGCGTTGGATACAACCACTATGGTCATGTTTTATTCGGAGGAATAAAATAAAAATTGTCTTTCGGAGAGGTGGCTGAGTGGTTGATAGCCCCGGTCTTGAAAACCGGTATAGTTTTAAACAAAGAACTATCGAGGGTTCGAATCCCTCTCTCTCCTTTTTTGCTCATTGAATAGCTTTGTTTTGTTATTAGCTTTGACCGGACTGGTATTATTAAACATTAAAGAAGGCGGGCTCGGCTCGGCTCGGTGGGATAGCCGAGCCGAGCCGAAAAAAATTGATAATTATATAAAATGAAAAAAAAAGAATACTTTTTAATAAGTATGACCCGATCTCAAGATGTCTGATCGAATGCTTGAAATATGAATCCCTTTCATTCGATCTCCTCTATCCTCTATTATCTCAATTAAGAGGAGTCATGGAAAGTGCAGGTTCAAAATCACGATCAATTCCTTTTTCAAACCCTGCTGCAGCTGCACGAGCCCTTCCCGCATGCCACAAATGACCTACGAAGAAAAAGAACCCTAGAACAAAATGAGAGGTAGCTAACCAACTTCTAGGAGAGACATAATTGACTGCATTGATCTCAGTAGCTACGCCGCCCACGGAATTTAAAGAACCTAAAGGAGCATGAGTCATATATTCTGCGGAACGTCGTTCTTGCCAAGGTTGTATGTCCTTTTCAACCTACTCAAGTCCAACCCATTTGGACCTCTTAAAGGTTCTAACCAAGGAGCACGCAGATCCCAAAAACGCATCGTTTCTCCTCCAAAAATGACTTCTCCGGTTGGGGAACGCATTAGATATTTACCTAAATCAGTAGGCCCTTGTGCGGAGCCCACATTAGCCTCAAGACGTTGGTCTCTAACTAGAAAAGTAAATGCTTGAGCTTGAGAAGCTTCTGGTCCAGTGGGTCCGTAAAACTCACTAGGATAAGCGGTATTATTGAACCAGACAAAACAACAAGCAATGAAACCAAAGACGGATAAAGCCCCTAAACTATAAGATAAGTAAGCCTCTCCAGACCATACAAGTGCGCGCCGAGCCCACGCAAAGGGTTTGGTTAAAATATGCCAGATTCCACCCAGTATACAAATGGAACCTAACCATACATGCCCTCCGATTATATCTTCTAAATCATCCACACTAGCAATCCACCCTTCCCCTCCAAAAGGCGATTTTAGTAAATATCCAAATAGGATGCTTGGGCTAAGGGTCAAGTTGGTAATCTTTCTTACATCCCCCCTCCCGGAGCCAGGTATCATACACGCCTCCAAAATATAGAGCCTTGAATACTAGAAGAAAGGCACCCAGACCTAACAAGATTAAGTGAATACCTAAAATTGTGGTCATTTTATTTCTATCTTTCCATACATAACCAAAGAATGAAAAAGATTCTTCAAGCGTCTCAGGACCTAGAAGTGCATGATAAATACCGCCAAAGCCCAAAACCGCAGAGGAAATTAAATGAAGTACTCCCGATACAAAGTATGGAAAGGTGTCTATAACTTCTCCACCAGGACCTACTCCCCAACCTAGAGTAGCTAGGTGGGGAAGTAAAATTAATCCTGTTCGTACATAGGCTTCTCTGGTATGAAATGAGCCACTTCAAATAGGTTCATTGCTCCTGCCCAGAATACGATTAAACCAGCATGGGCTACATGAGCTCCTAATAATTTACCGGATAAATTGATAAGTCGGGCATTTCCGGCCCACCAAGCGAAACCGGTGGTTTCTTGATCACGACCGCTAAAGCTAAAGTTCCATTAAAGAGCGTTTCCACGTGGTAGAACCTCCTCGGGAATATAAGGTTTTCATGAGGCTGATCTTGAGCCGCCATCCAAGCACGAATACCTTCGTTTAAAAGAATATTTTTGGTGTAGAAAG